TAAAATCTGAGATTAAATTGATGAACCAAAATTCCATATCCAAACAAGGGAAAAATAAGTCTAGAAGAGCAAAAACCCAATTTGTGGAACTCAGATCTGTAGCCTGAAGTGTCCCCAGCGGCTGCCTCTTTGATTTCTGCCGTCCCTAGCACAGAATCCTCACAAGTTCTGCCTCAGACTCGACTTCAAACTCTCTGCCGGCTGCTTCCCTTTTTTTCTCCCGTCACCCCACTTGCGTCTCTGTGTGTGGCTGTCCTCTTCTGCTGCTGGTAATAAACAGATGTGGGTTGCTGGGATGTGGGCGGCTGGGTGTTCTTTTCCTCTTGTATAGAACCCTCTCCTGCGTCTGTGTGGCTGTGTGGCTTGCGTCTCCCCCCTTGTTTCTGCCGAATAGCATCTATATATATCTCCAGAAATTAGAAACCCCTTAACCCTAGCAGACATGGGAATTGGGCTTTGGTTTGGGCCTGGACTGTAGTTGGCCCACACCTAGGAAACACAGCCCAATTCTCTTTATTTCTGCACTATGTCCATGTCAAAACCGTCACTTTCAACCAAAAATCTGTATTGATACAGCTAGAACTGGGTTAAGCTCATAAAACATCAATTGTAGCTCTGCCTCTTAGCTTTCCAACGCCTAAAGAATCAACTAAATCCGATGCCTAGAGAAAAAGATATGGTTAAATTACTGCAGCATGTGCAAATTATCATTTATTGCAAAATTAATTCCTATCTTAATTTTCACCCACAAATAATGAATTTAATATAAAAAAAGGTGAAACTAAGTTCCAAAAGACCCCTAAATTTAATTCTAGGCTCAAAAAGGGTAGATAAATCCATATAAAAATTAAACTCATCATTATTTCAGGAAAAATTGAGAACTAAATATGTTGCTAGGCAAGAGGAAGAAGGATTTGACCCTACAATAGGTCATGGTGAGTTATTACTTAGGGCAACTGGTGGGGTCAAGAAAAGATGTCTGAAAGGTTTGGATAGTCACACAAATCCACAAGATATAGGTGTGAGCACATCTAGACAAAGCCATTCAAGCCACCCATCATAAGACAGTCTAATAGGGTTATCGAATTAGAGCAGACTATTGAATCATCGAAGGTAGATAATAATAGACTTCAACAATCACAGATGACTCTTATGGCAGATAATGAGAGCCTACGATAGCAACAGTTGACCTTTGCTGCATAGATGCAGCAACTCTACTAGCATGTAGGGATGACCCCAGTGGATACTAGCAGGACAGTCACCCCGAGATATTTAGGTTTTTCATATTTCAATTAAATAATTGTATTTACTTTATATTTGTAGTAGACATTGAAGACTTATATATTTATAGTAAATTAACAAATTTTTCTAGCATTTTATATGATAAATATCATAAATTATGTGAAAATAATTTTATATTATCAAATATGTTAATTTAAATATCAATTAAATCCTTTATATGTAAGAAATATCGAACTAAATGAAATATTTATATACAAATCGATTTTAATTAGTATAACAACAGTAATAAATATGCTACCCAAACTGCCCAAACTAGTATATATGGATCGATGCCAGTCTGTATATATCAAGGCAGGTAAAGCCAACTGCAAAATTCTTACAGTCAGCTTAGTTCAAAAAACAAAATGTTCGAAGCAGTCCAGCATTAGCTGGCTTTCATTACCCAGCCGGCTCACCTGACCCAAACTATTATATACAGACCGATACCGGTCCATATATAACCTATGAGGATCAAGGCCAGTTAAGCCGGTTGCAAAATTTTTACAGTCGGCTCACTCCAAAAAAATAGAATATTCGAGGCAGTCCAACACCAGCCGGCTTTCGTTCCCCAATCAGCTCAGAATATACAGACCAAAATTGGTCTGTATATATCATTGTGAAGATATACAGACCAAAATCGATCTGTATACACATGGAGACCCAACACAAAGCCTCAGTAGTATATACGAACCATTATCGATCCGTATATATCTTCGTTAATATATATACAGACCGGTAACGGTCCGTATATATTAGGACAACCAAATTTTAGCCCACATATAGACGGACCGATACGGATCCATATATACTGTGAGCGCGTTGTTGAGCCCGCATATATACGAACCAATACCGGTCTGTATATACCTGCAGGGTTTGTGTTCTAAGGTTTTTCCCTACCTATATACGAATCCATACTGGTCCGTATTTTATGAATATATATACAGACGAGTTTTGGTTCGAATATACACCTAACAGCAACTTTCTCATTCATTTCCTTATCTCATGCTCAAATCGTTGTACTCTCATTTTAAACCATAACATTTCGAATGTTTGTATGCTAAAGTGGTTAACTTCAACCAAAAAAATCAATTTTAGTTGCTTATGGCTCTGAAATAACATTACCTAACCTTATATCTAATAACCTTATACTTATACATTTATGGTTTGCAACGATATTATCCCGTACCATTGTTAGATAATTTCTAGCGGACAATCGATGGTTCCGGGGTTCCAGGGGATTGTAGTGTCGATGTACACGTAATTGGTTTTCGTAAGAACGGATTTAGGACACGAGAAGATGGTGATATCCTTAAATGAAAAGAATAAAAAGGCGCACAGGGAGAAGTTTTTGGATTTTTTCAATATATTCGGACAAAAAACGGTCTGAAAAAGAAAAAGCGAGGAAGCTTCCAGATTTTGCGCATATATTTTGACCAAAACAAGTCCGTATATATCTTTATACTAAATTTAATTTATCTTTATAATTAGAAAAACTAGGACAAACATATATCCGGACCGATAATGGTCTGTATAATATTATACGAACTGGTTTTGGTCTGAATATATACCAACCTGTAGTTTTTTCATTGTTTTGCTTATCTCATACTCAATTCATTATACTCTCATTTTCAACTATAACATTCCTAATGTTTGCATGCCAAAGTGGTTAGCTTTAATCAAAAAAATCAATTTTAGTTGTTTGTGGCTCCGAAAGAACATTACCTAACCTTATATCTAATAACCTTATACTTATACATTCATAATTTTGCAACAATATTATCTCGTACCATCGTTAGATAATTTCAGGTAGGCAATTGATGGTTCTGGGGTTCCAGGAGACTGTAGTGTCGATATACATGCAATTGGTTTTTGTAAGAACGGACTTGGGGCACAGGAGGATGGTGATGTACTTAAATGAAAAGAATAAAAAAGTGCACAGGGAGAAGTTTATGGAATTTTTGCAATATATTTGGACCAAAAACGGTCTGAAAAGGTGTAAGACGCATGTAATATACATAATTTAATCGATCTTTATAATTAACAAACTGTAATAGGCATATATACGGACCGGTATCGGTCTGCATGTATTTTTTATACATATAACCAATTGCTATTCGCATCCGTCCACCAAATTTCAAGAAATTATCAAATTAATTAATTATTTTCAGATTATAGTCAGTCCGTAAGGTTTTGCCTCTTCAAAATTTCACCGAAAAGTAAACTCTTTTAGGATTGACGCTTAATTATTTATTTACGAACCAGTTTCAATCCATATATTTTGTTGTCAAAATTTCGCTAGAAATTAAAATTTTTTGGTAAATAACAGACCGATTTCAATCCGAAAATGTTTGCCGCCTAAATTTCCAGCAAAATTGAAGCTTTCCGTTGGCAGTTATCTGGCACTTATTTGTTATATTCGGATCGGTTTCGGTCCATATGCAACCTATATATAACCAGCTTCCTCTCATTTCTTTCCTCATTTTTCTGATTTCTCTTTTTCTTCTCTTTCTTTTTCTTCTTCATCTCCTCCGTTTTTGGGTATTTCTTCCTCTTCTTTCTCATTTCCTTTCTTTTTTTCTCTATTCCTTTTACTCTTTCTCCATTTTTTCTTACTCTTCCCCTTTCTTTCCTCTCTTCTTTCTCTACACTTCTTAATATTCCTTTGATTTTTCTTACTCTTATTATTCTTCCCCTCTCTTTCACGTTTTTTTTTCCTTTGATTTTTCTGTTTTTTACAATCTTTTTTATTCCACTCTCATTTTTTTTGTTCCATAATATGTTCTATAATGTTTTTGATATTGGTATATTTTTATTATTTATAGTTTGTTTACTAACTTTTTTTTTTTGCAGGTTTCATATTATAAGAA